CCAAGTACAGCATTGAGGCGCATCCAGCGAAGGAGGTAACTTTTCGTATTCTTTGTCTCGATGAGATTTTTTTTTAATTTTAAGCACTTAGATAAAGTACTAACATTTTTGTCTAAAGTCATATCTAACGAAGCGTTCAGCTAAGGAGTATAAGCAGCGCATTTTGTAAAACAAAATTAACAGGCCCAAAAATTCTTGTAATGTCTGAACAAAAAGATGAACCATTGATAGAGAGGGTCCTGTTTCGCAAAAGCTAGGCCCAGAAGTTGGGACCTGAGAGGAATTGGCCCTACGTCCCAACCTCGTGGTAGAGACTAGAAATTCTGCCTTTCTAATATTGTATTAGGCGAAACAAAGTGATGGATCGTAGGAGAACGGGGTTGGACATAGCACCAGAACACACTGCAATCGCTTTAACGAAGGATAACACTGATGGACAAAGCAGCTTTCCATGTGGAACCAAAAAGTTTTACTTCCTTTTTTGAATTACCCTCCAGTACTAAGAGCAGTGATACCCTGGGCTCTTTACGAAAGTAGGATGTACCCTTTGTCGTAAAAGGCAAAGGTTTTGCCAATATCAGAACACTTGTATGCGGCCCGCATTCTACCAGTATGTTTGTTTGCAGTCGAACTTATTTCCAAACATGTTTGGCTCACTCCTTATTCCAGATGGCCTCTTTACTTTGTCAATTTTGGCCTTCTGTGTCAGTCGCAACCATGAATTTGAACATCTCATGCTTGTGCGTAATAACTCTGAACGAAAGAAGTGTAACTGTGCTTGTCACCAGCTCTTAGTTTATACTTGCATTCATTATTAACCAACCAGCGCTCCTTCCCCACGTTTCATTTCCTATGAAAAGAAACCGCATCACTCACAAGTCGTTAAACTGGTGATTACATTTTGCCTCTCTCCGTGAATACCTTTAAAGTCTGGTTCGAAACTGACAGATATAAAAATATTATTCGCTTACAAATCGAGAACGACAGAAACAGGGATGTGTGATTGAGACGATTTAATCGAGCATTGTGTGTTATTAAGAGTGCGAATCATATTAGTAAAAACCACTTCCAGCGAAATCTCTAAAATGCATATTTTTTTGTTTTGATAACTGAATATCTTTGGTATAAAGAAATTAACTTGAATACTGTTATATTTTCGAGTGTGAACCTCTTATTCATGTTATACTTTATCACACACTAACTTCCATGCTCAAGTGAATGCATAAAATTAAATGAAAATTATGAAAATGTCTCGACTACAATCCCCCGGCCAAGTTCATTAAATAAAATTTGATACTGGCATAGTTTAAATTAATGACGTTCTATTCAATAATTTAATTTCAAGACAACCTACATTGAAATAGCAGTGTTGGTTGCTGGTTCAATTATCAGTTTCAACTCCTTGTTATCAGAAGTATCGTTTACAGCCTCAATGCAGTCGCAATATGTGGCGAATTATCGGCAACTGGATGAAGCAAAATGTATATAGAGAGCAAGCACAAGTAGGCACAATTCTTTGTACTCTTGTGATTTTAAGGTGCACAAATTTTGCACCTGGCGTATGGTGCAAGAAGTGGTCTAATGTGCACTTTGTTCGATTTCCTACTTTCCCCAAACATAGTCTATTTCGAGTTTTACGGCTTACTCTAAACATTTCCTAGTAATACACTCTAGAAGAGGAAGCTCGACTCAGGCGCAAACTTAGCTTCAAATAATTCTCGAATTAACTACAAACTTGAGTATCAACCTAATTAGATTCCCATCATAAAAAGTCTATTCGAGCGAGAATGATGGCAACTGCGTCGCATTAGCACTTGACATTAGCATTGTTTCACTATTCAAGTGTTAGCGCGATCAACGTTCATGTGCATTTTACTTGCCCCAATGGTAGGACCAAATAACCATTGATCAAAATCAATGTATTTACAACAGGTTGGTGTGTTAATTATCATCATTTGCAAAAAGAAAAAAAACGAAAATCATTTTTGGGTTGTGAGTAAAATAAGCAAGTCTTGTGCCAAAATTTGGTTAGTTCCCACTTAAACATCTCATTTAGTTAAACCAGATTGCGACTCCAAAATTTTGCAAAAAAGGCATGTCTCTGGGACCGAGAGGCATAACATAATAGCCTGAGGCAAAAAGCATGTTCACTGATGTCGCATGAACCGAACACCACTGACTTCACTCTTCTACCAAATCACGTCACTTTAGTTTTAAATTCCACAAAATTTCTTACCAGGCTCCTTTTGTGCGCATTTTTTTGGATGAACCGATGTTCGTGAAATGTACTGCTTCAATTAAGAATACCTCATTTGTCAAAACACCCATATTCTACGAAGTTAAATGGTCAAAAATTCGTAAATATGGAGTAAACTATGTGAATTATCGTTCAAGGCATTCGAAAAACATTATTATTTAGATTTAGTGGGATTAGATCACGATTTTAAAAAAAATTGTGTTAAGGGAAAACAAAGGAATGACCAGTGTTAGATTGTCGAGATTCCAGTACATTTATTCCCAAAACTGTACAATGCGCCACCGAGCATCGAACAAACTGGAAGATAAAGAATATTGATGAGGCAGATTTGTCCTTACTTCAAGTACAGCAACCTGATTCCACGTCGGTTTTACTCGAAATGTAGGCGAATGAACAAATCTCAGCTGGATACCATTCGTTTGAAACATTAATTGTGGATTTAATACAGGACCTTTCCAAGTCGTAAGGAGAAACGGACGCATTCCTAAAAACTCATACTACCTACGCATATAAATAGGTTTTTTGTAACTCAACGCAGGGCCTTAGTGTAGTAATGGATCGACGCAGTGGAATCAGACACATGATAACTGCGACCCTGTAATGAGAAAAGCAAACTGAATCTTCTTCAGAATATGCATGCTTAAATTGAATATTCACATGCAGTTAGAATTGTCAACATTTGTTACGAAGTCTGATTGAAGGGACAATACATTACCCCCACATTATCGCCTTCATGTTTTGTGATTGATAACGTGTTTTCTATAAGCTAGGGCTTGATATCATATAAAAATAGCATTTTAGCACAATAAAACATCTAAATTTGACAGTTGAACACGATTTGCACCAATGTCTTCCCAAGTAGGCATAAAAACTAATAAAACAAGTGTGTTTCGAATTCTCTTAACACAGCAAGGCAGAAACTCTAAAGATCACTCGTGATGCTGCGTGCACCTCGAAGACAGCCCCAGTTACACGCAGACTGGTGACCGGCTAAACGATGGTGAGCATACGGTGTCAAGTTGCATGTCTAGCCGTCTAGACACATTATGGTTGCATTGACATACAGGGTACCCACAGATTTGTAGGCAACGGTTAGAAGCTGATCAGTTAGGGTTCAAACCAATGTTAATCAAACGGTCTCTGACCCCACTGGCACTTCAGTATGTGGCAGTCTCCCTTAAGTATAACCCAACTTTTTTTACAGTTCAACTTTTAATACAGCGTGTTCAGAATGTTGCCGTAAATCAAACACAAACAACCAGCTCACTCGAGCTCGTGGCTACTACAACTTGCTCAGCAGGCATAAGCGAATTTCTACGAAAGTGGCACTAGAGGTATTTGTTTGATTAGGCAATACTGAAATTCAACAAACAAAAATTGGATATAGGATGGAAGAACAGCAGCACTTTATGGCTTTATTAATTTGAACGGTAATAGTGATTGTCGTCTAATCAACTAGCAGTGAATACATACAACGTGTTCGACAAATAAGAAGTGCTGGTATTTCAAAAAATTGACGGTGTAAATTTCTCCTTTACTTTGTCTTTAAAACACGCAAACACGAAATGGTAGCAGTGGCCAAAAAAAGCAGTTTAATCCAGCTCACTAACAAAACTGATACAAAACAAAGCTAGTGTGTAGCGCAAGTAGTAGTTTAATGAGAATTATGCCTGGAGCGAATTGTTGTGGAAGCAACAAATTAAATGGCGTCCACGTAGCGAGCACAATTGAGGGATGAAGTATAGTACAGAGACCGGGAGATAGTCGCCATGGCTGCAGTTACCACATTGGAGCCTCGCGGATTTCACTGATAATCTGGCTTGCCCGTTGCAGTGCCTAAATAAAAAGTGGCAATTTTATTTTTCAACACGTTGACTTCCAGTTCTGGGGCAGCCACACCCAATCAGCTCATATTGATTGGTCCTTTCTGTAATTATCTTGGTTGAAACATCGCACTGAAATGTTTGCCTTCAATAAAACTAAATAATCCAATCCACTAAGCTGATTTTGTATTTTCCTCTGGAAATTCTTCCAAGTTGGAATATTCAGTGATCCTTGAGAGTATGGTAGTTGTAATGCATTTAGAATTGAAGCTGCCAATCACAGCATTCTCGCTTTAGACTACGCAACTTTACTTAGACAACATCAATCGTTTTTCAAAAGAAAATACGCAACATTGAAATCCATAACCCTATCAGCCTTGAAACGCTTGACCTAATTAAGCAGTTGGATGATACCGGCTTACTAGTTCTCATACATCTTTAAAAAATTCATTAATCGCTAGATTATAATAGTAACAACAACCTATGTAAAAAAATATATAGGCTGCAAACTCTATATTAATAAATTTCTTTTTAGCATAATCGCATTTTTTAAATATGGTAAAAGTGGTGCACCTATTTTCGGTATATCCTCGACCGTATGGCTTAACTAGTTCAAATCTTGGAAATGACAAGAAATTGGCTTTGATGTGAACCGACTCAAAAAAATCCCACCTCGACGGTTAGAATTATTTCATGAAATTAAATGGGACCTTCGGTTAACCGACATGTCGTTTGTCGTAAGCAGGCTTTTGATGGTAGAATTTAAAAACTATCGCGTGGTTATCTTAAAGGACTTACGGATCTCTCCCTTTGGGCAAATTAATATTTACAACTTGCAGAATGATTACCAAAAATGTTCCCATTGTCAATAAAGATCACGTTGTAAAAAAACAGTTAACGTGTGATAGGGACACCCAAACTTAGTCGATAAAATAGAAATCCCATTCACACCACCTGACCTTAAGCATCTCCGATGCCTCCTTGCGTCGCTGAGCAACGTGCTCGCTTTCCTTCAACAGTCCATTGCACTCATCGGTCTTGTAGAGGCTGCTCACTAGTTCTGACTGGAGATTGTCTTTCACGTAATTTACCAGAAAATTCATGATCGCCTTTGGCACCGAATCCAGGATGTTCTTGCGAACGATTTGAAAGTATGAACGAATCAATTGACCTGGAGCAAAAGAACCACGTTAAAAGGTTTTACGTTCTGAGATGTACGCAGTAGCTACCAAGTACGGACCGAATCCTATGCCCAGAATAGCAGTCAGTAAAATTGGATTCAATAAAACGCAGTCAAACCTTTGGTGAAATTGGAAAAAGTAAGGAATGACAATTTATTCGATGGCCTTCCGACATTCTTCGGGTAAACGAATAACCCATTCGCCACATTGACAGGAATATGAGTGTCAGGTGAATCGGTTAGCAACATTTACTTGGGGCAAAGTGGTGTCATGAGAGAATAGACTCACTCGGGTTTGGGTTATATCTGAAGAGACTAATTGTGCAATAGACCTGTTCTTTCTAAGTTTATCAAAAACACAAGCAGCTTTTTTACGTAAATTTGCTATACAGGGATGCACTTTGCGGTGGTTTTTCTCTGGTGATGGAGATAAACTCTTTAAACATAATGCAAACTTTGGCAACTATCGTTAATATTTTAAAATGAACAGTGGCCTATATGAAAATTTTGAGACCATACCCAAATATACCAACCAAACACATGTGCAAGTAGTTTGTAACGACCTTTTTAGATACGTTGGCCACATGTGCACTGGTTATCTTCCATTGCCATCATGATTTTTTCATTTGTCGCCAATAAGATTCCTGGTTTTCCACTCTATTACCTAGATATGGCACTAAAAGGAGGGTCACAAACTGTTGCAGATGCGCCTACGACTGTTCATAGCATTCTGCAAGTGGAATCGATACGCAAGGAAACATCTTGTAAGGCGGCATTGAGATTAGGAGTTGACACTTACTAATTAAATCACAGTCGTGCTTTTCTGCGGCAGAAAGTTGATGCTGCTGAACCTGAGTTTGCTGAAATACGGAGTGCAGAAAACAAATGTGAAGTCATACAAAAAGAACACCTACTTGAATAACTCACATCGCTCTCCGAAAAGGCCATAACTGTTCTCAGCAGAGCCTCCATTTCAGTACTTGGGTATTTCGTTATAGAGGAGTCAATTAGTGGCCATCGTGCCGAGAAGGCCACTGACTTTCCCACTTCAAGTACAGACTTAGGACACCTTTGATATGCGCAAACACGCCAGGAGGTTCAGACTGTACACTAAACAGCCCTACCAATATTTACATTATTCGCATTCGTTTCGGTGATGCGGCAATCATACAAAAATATGTGCCAAATTAACTGATCCCAAGGCATTAACGAACAAGCGCAGCAACAAGTTGACACCGACTTAATTTGACTACAATTAATTCGCTTCAGCTGCTCGACGGAAAAGATGACTGAGTAGACTTACAATATCAGGAGGCATTTGGAAACCTTGTGTAGCGGCAGAAGCAGCGTCTGAAGAGTCGGCCTCCTGCAGGACGTCATTGGGTCGCTGTGCCCTCGAGGGTGGTGGGTTCGGATGTCGAGCGACGGCCTGCTGCTGAGAGCGTTTCCCCGGTTGCGCCTGCGAAGGACCTTCAGCCAGGGTCTAAGACAAATCAAAAGGGATTCGGTAAACTAACACTTTAATTTGGCAGACTAAATGTGCAGAGAAGGAATCCGTGCGAACCGGAAAGGGATCAAAGAAATTATTCAGCAAATAACTCAGTCACACGACAGCCAAAGGATACTAAATGCATGGGTTTGAAGAGCAAACCTCAACACGGGGAATCCGTGGGATCTCACCGAATACGAACGACTAAATTCGGTTTAAACGAATTAACACCTGAAGAAATGAACTTTCATGTAATAATACACAAAGTTTAGCAAATGTCTGGTGAAAGTTTGAGCAAATTTAAATTACTAGTAGCTTGCAATGAAATAAAAATGATGCCTGTCGGGTTGTTGAGTTGAGAGGCTTTGAACAAATGGGTTAGTTGTAAAAAGGAGGAGGAAGAGTTCATCGTTCGCAAACGTTTTTTTATAAATCGGTATGGCTTGATTGTGGGCTGATTGGGGAAATTTGAACACAAAATATTTTGGCGATAAGTGTGCGCACGTGCAGGGACTAGCCATGAGTCAGACACAGGATACCGCTTTTAAAAACGGCGGAAAGCGAATCAACAAGGGAATAGAGTAGATTGAGCAAACAAGCTCACGGGCGTACATTGTGGCTAATTTGGATCCAATCGTGTTCCACCTCACTAAGTTGGAGTTGTATTGCCCGTCTTTGGATCAGGCCCTACATGAGAAGGATAAACAACTGGTATTTAAATTAGGAATCCAGTAGGGCCACTATTATCGTTGTTACGGTTACCGGCAATCGGTCGACAAATGAACTGAGTAGCCGGAAAATGCAATTTACACTCAACGGAAAGCGCTATGCTTTTGGTGCATGGCTCAATTTTGAGTACTCCTCATTACACATCATTTTACTTCAAGCAGGATTCGAGCCCACCAAGTCTGAGACCGTTGAGTGCGATTGCCATTAACTGGAGGGGCGAGTTAAAGCGGTATACGAGTTGATCAGCCCTTTAGGAAATCTTATTTTGAACAAGGAAGTAACTGATGGTGGGTCAGAAAAAAAACTATTTTTAGTTAATTTTAGTGTAACTCAACCGACTTCCAACACCGACAACAAAATCATTTTTGCCCACAACCTACCGCTGTGAAAACTGGTTCTTGATTGACAAAAAAGCGACAGAAATCAAATAGACTTGGAGGAATTTAAGGAAAGAACGTTCAATGAAACTCTTAATGGCTCATAAGCAATCACCTTGAAAATTTTTGCAGCGGCTTAGGAAACCAGACTAGAGTTCACCAAAAGGGTGAGTAAACTATTCGCAATCCTTGAAACAGGAAAGAGGCCAGTTTCCGGCAAATGGTATGGACTTGGCACGAACCGAAACCCTATAAAGGGTCAAATGACAAGCCAGTGGAAAATGATCAGTGACAATTCTACTCAGTATGAACGCCACGAGCGAACGGAATTGGAAGCAGGTGGGTGAAACCTATGTTAAAAGCAAAGTAACGATGGAAAAATCAATGTCAAAATTCAACTAAAGCGTTTCTGGTATTACTCACACGAATTAGTTACGGCAAAGTGAAGTTCGAAATGAGTCTATTTAGGCCGTACTCTATTCAAATATTCAATGGACATTAAAAAGCCTTGTTACGACTAAGAATTAAACTCCAACTTGGGGAACTGCCACAACACGCGGACTCCCATTAGCATATTTGTCGATTTTAAAGTGACGTAAAAGTACTGAGACCTGTTGCGCAAATCTTTAACATAACGAAAGGAAGCAAGCCCCAATCGAGGGGAATCTCGGCGTTTTGATTTCTTTAGGGTCATTGTGAGAAGGGTGAAAATTTCGCCACATAACTTCGAATAGCAGACTATCCAGTTGTAAGAACGTATAAACCCTAAATGAAGTCCATAAACCGTTCTAAGTGAAATTCAACCAATCAATCGACTGCAGCAAATATGTGCCCTTTTGAAACCAACCTAGTCAGGTTTGGCTTCATCGATCTAGGACGATTTGTCAAGCCACGTATGGAGTCATACAGTGTAAGCTATTTAAAAGTTAGGTTGGATTTTTAAGTGGCTGCTTTTGTTGGGTTAACTGATGAAGCAGGGAAAAAGCATACTATAACAATGCAAAATAAATTCTGTTCTGGTGTAAAAGAGATAATTATTATAAGAATTTACTTGTGTAAAGATGTTAGACACACTTGATTCCTTAATACTTGCTGTTTTGAGCGCACTTCTCACCATGAAGGAAAAATTTGACTACTTCGTTGGAAAGGGTGCTCGGCTTTGCCGCAAAATAACTCCAGTTAGGGAAGCGAAGAGAAATAAAGCTTAGTTGAATATCCGACACCAATTAAAACACTACGTTTTTGTGTAAACGCACACAATACAGGTAAACGAAGTGGATTAAGGGTGTTGTTTGTACATGTTTGTGCACACATAACCTGACTAAGAGGTTAGTGTAAGTCGTGTTTCAGCGCCATTGTTTTTGGATGACACCAAAGGCGACTTCATGGCGGTTTAGCTTTCTACAGAGTCACCGGTGAGCAAAGGACACGCTGATTATGTTAACAGCTGCTAGAATGTGATTCATGTGAAGTAGCCTACATGACTACTTTCTCGAAAAGCCGAAACTTAGACCTTGCCTCCATTTAACGTAGGATTAGAAAAAATCAAACAACAAATTTGAAAAGAGCATGGCACAGGTAGAATTAGAACAAGGTGTGACAAATTTGAGGAGACGATGGGGGAGAATGTAAACAGCAAAAACTTACTAGGTTGTTGAGACCAGGAGGAGCTTGCTGTCGGTGAACCATGAGTTCCTCCGTGAAATCAGGGTGACGGGTATTGATGTAGGCAAGTTCGATGGCAACCAAATTTGTAACCATTTCGTTTGTTGGTTGGAGGCGACGTCGCAATAATGAAGTTACCACGTCAACAATCCGTTCGTGTAGGTTCGGAAATCGGTACATCTCTTGCTACATGGATGGCGAGTAAAACAATTAAGTGGATTAATTTCAGCACACTAGTTCACAGTTAATCGAGGAAACTTTAACGATTATGAAAAAAATATTTCCTGGTAAGGAGAGGAAACTATGGGTCTAGGTAGAAATTTGTGGTCCTGTATTTACAAAAGACTATTCGGCGGGTGAAGAGGAATGATGAATTCGCAAAAACAGACACAAGAATACAGGCTTTTAAGCCATGTTATACCGTGTGTACAGGAACATACCTATGAGGATGGTAAACAGAGCAGGCGATGTTTTTCCAAAACTGCATCCACAACCATTCAATAGTAACTCTCACTTTTCTAGGCGCATCATGTATAAACCAATCTTGTTAAGAATTTATGAAAGAAGTTACAACTTTACATTATACCATTTCAAAAACACAGACAAGTACAGAACAATGAATTGTTAGATGATCAAAATGACAGTTAGACAAATATTAGTACACGAGTAACAATGCACTCTTGAAGTGGCTACGGCAATTTTCCATGGACAATCAATCAATCACATTTGGCTGCACTTAGGCAAGCGTCTGATTTAACTATTTCACAAGGACCTCAGCCAGAGATGAAATTGAGGAGTTACATCCCCGTGGCTGAGAAAATATGGATGTTTACCACATGCCTCTGAACGAGAAATACAAATAGGCATCAAAAATGCAGTCTGCGATGACTGGTGGATTTACTTATTAGAATGTCATTAAGGCAAAGCTTCACAACGAAAAACTTTTTTGAGCCACAAAATAAATAAAAGGATAAGCTTGGCTTCAAGTGTGACCAATTCAACCCGCTCAGTAATTTAATCGAACGATTGTGTGGCTGAGATCGGTTGCTAGACGATTCTAGTGAAATTCAGCCGTTAAAGAGCTTAGAGAATTAAAACATGTGGTTAAATAAGGAATATGATTACACAACACAACAGACCTGCATTCAGTAGGATTTTTTTGTTAACCACGATAATGTCCACGTAACCACGTAATCATAGGTTTAACAAGCAAAAAGAGCACCGGTGGAAAGAGGGATCAGGCACCAACCTGGGTCCCGCAGTGCTGAATGATTCGCTGCATCTCCTCGTGAACAAGTTCCACACAACGAAGACTGGGTTCCTCTAATCGGCGAATTTGCCTCTTTACAAGCAACTCAAAGGCCACTTCAGGCACAAAAAGCGCTGGACGAGGCCCTGTGGAATTTCTAATCGCCGTGAGCACATCCAGGGTGGTCAGGCCTCCCATGGGATCGATTCGTCCCAGTGTGCTGTAGAAGATTTCGTGAAAGATATAGCAGATACGAGCACCACCACACAACTCTGATGTTTCAATATCCTTTGAGACACCGTCGATAGTGTTGCAATAGGCAGTGTTGAATTTGGTAATTATTTGAAGCAACAACTGTCCCTGGCATGAAAAAAAAAATCAAATTAGCACAAAAAACGAAGTTTGTACTTTGGAACCGCATTTCTAAATTTAAAACGTGGATTCCAGCAACACACATGAAGATAAACTGAACTGAACTATGCCTGAGATACTGACGGCATAGTACTTTAGCTGAGGAAGCATCTCCGTCTGATTGAATGCTTACTACACTGGAACGATGAAAAAGGGTATTAATAAAACGATAAGACAATTTCCTTTCAACTGTGGTTGTAGTGCTGGAATGACATTGGAAGAACACTGCCAGCATATTTAGCAGTCACAAAAATGTACTCTGGACAGCCAGCTGCAATCAATCCAAGCAATTTGTGGTAGCAAAAGTGCTAGCCTGGAACAAGATTAAATTCCGCCTAAATGATCGAATGTTCGCTGATAATGCACAGTTTTAGAAAATAGCAGAAATTTTGGTGATAAGAGAACGGACGGTAGCATTTTATCACGAAAAACACATTACGCCAGACTGGTAAGACGCATGCTTCTCAATGACTTACCTTATCCTCCACCTCAGTACCGAACGAGTTCAGAAGAGTCTGGAACTGGGCTGCCATCACGTTAACACGAGTCTTTAACTCGGGTAGGCAATCTCTGATATGATGCATAAGCAGCTGAATAAGGAAGCAAAAATGAAACAAGCTAGAGTACCCTCAATACTCTCCTAAGGTGCATATATTGATAATGAGCACTGAACTGGAGGACAGACTTTCAAAAGAAACTTATCCATTTTAATTTATTGTTCTGAAAAGAAATTTTAGTCGGATATCTCAATGGTTAAGTTTCGTCGAACTGAGTAAACTGGTGGTACGCTACCTATAATAAGCTGCAATACTTAGTGACCTCACGTCTTGAGATAGGAAAGCACGCGATTAGCACGGTTTATTACTAAACCGGGTTAAATGAATCCGTGAAAAAACACCAGTACCTGTCGTAAGCACATGTCATTCGTCGACCAAAAATATACACTAAATTTTGTTAGAAACAATCATGCACCACATGAGATTTACAGTTGTCATGATTATCAGGATGTTTGCGTTTCCACACCAAAAATGTGAATAGTGCTACACATAATGACCAATTATTTCGGCATGTCTTGGATCAGGGCTTGACTGCACGACATCATTACTGGGAAAAAACTAAAATATTTTCTGTCCAACCACACCAGATGTAAATCAAAGGTTTCAGAAGGAACACCAGCTTCAATAAACTCTACCCGGTTAAGTGTCTTGGCAAGATATACAGTTCCGTTTCTACTAGCAAGGGAAGGATATCGCCGTTGCAAGAATGAGGCCTCGTAAGCAAGAGCATCGGTGATGGATTTTTTAGAGTTAATATCTGCCTGAGAGCGATTAACCACACCGATTATTCCTAGCTTTACGGGAATCACGCGATTAAGTAGGAGATCGTGAGCATCCGTCCCGTGATCCATTAGGTCGAGTTTGGTGAGCACGCAGAGGGTTCGTTTTCCTAAAAGGTATTTTAGTAAGATTCAACTGTGAGATATTAAAAGGGGCAGAAGAAACTTGCAGAAAAAATAAATCTGGCAATGGCCCAAGCAGTAATTTGAGCAAACTCGCTCGATCTAGATATGAGTAAGGAGGATCAAGGTAAATAATTTCATCATTCAACAATTCGACATGAAAGGCACAATGACGAAGATTCTAACTGGCAATGCAGCACCAAAAAGCGAATGAAACAACTACGCAAAACACGTTAACAAAAAAATATATGTGCCAATCAGGGTGGGCGATTACGCTTAGTATTAAATATGATTTTTAAGTGACAAACCTTCAGGATCAACCTCCTTAGCAAGCTTTAGCGACTCGCTAGTAGCCATATCTGCGTTTGCTGGAGTAACTGCAAGAATAATGCAGTTTGGATTGCTGATATAATGAAGACATAAACTGTTGATCTGTTTTTCAATATCTTCCGGCTGATCGCCAACTGGAACTTTAGTGATGCCGGGCAAGTCGACTAGAGTTAAATTGAGTACGTTTGGACTGTACACCTTTAAGTGGATGGCCTCTGAACTCACCATCTAAAATTAAAAAGGTTGTAGATTGTAAAGTAGTATTTCAAGGTAGGGCAATTTCAGATTCATCAAGTAGAACATTGCTAAATAATTTATGACAGGACACAATTAATGAGGTATTTTCTATTTAAAAGCTATGAACTAACCTTCCCAATGCCAGCCAATCGTGTAGTTTCTTTCTCTATTTCCTCACGGACCTTGTCGAAATCTGTATATATTACTTGTTTGTTATGTAGAAATTTTGCCCATTCCTTTGAAGTGCCATCGCCTTCCTCCTTTCGAATTGCATCATCGTTCTCACCTACATGAACCAATTGCAAGACCAACGGACGCCTAGTAACGATTCCGGGACCCCGTGGAAGGAAATCTCGGCCTACGATGTTTTCCAAAACAGAACTTTTTCCTGAACTCTAACAAGTCGTACGCATCAAATTCAATCTTACCTGACTACCTATGACAACTATTTGCGGCAACTGCAACGACTCGGTTCCTACGGTATTAAATACGTCCTGCAATTTATTAATAACCGGAATTAACGACTCCATGAGCACAACCCCAAGAAATTGTAGTAACGGTCATCCAATTAAATATTAAAACAAAATAGAAAGGCTAAATCCTATATTTCGCCAACAGGTGAAATGCCAAATTTTATTTCCTATGCACATAATAGCGGCTGCTTAATGGCAAACCTGCAAATGATGAACTGCTACTAATGCATGCCTTTTTTGACGAATTCCATGATTATCCTAATTGAATATTTAACAATCTTATTTTCTGTTTTTTATTATCACTACGCAACGTTTGAACTCTTGCACCAATGTCGACCAAATATTTCGTCATAAAATCAATTAAATCAGCCCTGGACATTTTTGTAAATTCCAATGAATCATGTCGATAAAGCTCATGTCTAAATAGTCTTATAGTGGGCTTTTTTGTGTTTGGTATTATTACATTAAATCTTTATGCCTTGTAATTAATTCTAGTCGACTTTTATTTCAAAATTTAGTAGGAGTTTATGCTAAATCAATGGCGGAATAATTAGCGTAAATGCACATTTTGTCCATTTATTTATTGAACCTATTAATTGAATGCATTACAATGGTGAATGTATCCCGTAATTTTAGGGTGCGCGTTATATGGTTTAATGGCTTAGTGCGAAATAGTAGGGTTAGGTAAATATGTGTCTGGTCATGCACGAAGTTCGCTGACGGCCCCGGTTTTTCTAAATTCCCTTTACTTGTGCTCAATTGATTTTTTGTGATGATTTCTAGCCTGTTATCTCCTAAACCGGATGTAATTTTGCATCAATAACAGCGGTGGTTGATTAAACGCATTCATAGCAGAGGATTTCTGGAACCCAAATCCGTAAGATATTAAGAATAATTACGATTTTCATGCATTATATTTTATTTGATAAGGTGTTTGGATGGCAATTGTTATTTCTTTATTGTATAATTGCAGCTATTTTTTGGCCTTCTCTTATTCTACCATTATTATCATCATAGTTTTTTTTCAATGAAAAGTCACGAAAACTTTGAAATTTTTCTCAGCACCTACGGATTTAACAATCTGTTTCGTATTGAATATATGTTATTTAGTTTTCTAAGAACTTATTAACTTGTAAAATATTCAAAGATTGGTTATTAGTTTAATTTTTACATTTTGTTTACTAAAGGCTACATCTACTGTGCCATTATTTCTGCAAACTGTCATTTCGAAATTTAAAACTTCCGCGCCCTCCTTAGGTCCTTTATATAAAAATAATATTTAGTCACATATTTCGCAAACTATTCAACTCATTGAAAGCCAGTTTAGTCTTATTTCCTTACAAGGAAACAATCAATGAAAATTGCAAACATAATTGTCATTTGATTTAGTACTTCAAATTGGGCTGCACATGCCTAAAATTAGCAAGTAATCATTAGAAACAGTCGAGAACATACCTTAAATTGCTTCAGACCTTGATTTGCAACTTCGGTTTTATTAAGACAAATTTTCACCATTGATACTGACTGGATGCAAAATAGAGTTTTGGCGATGGTGATCAACGGTTAGGAATTGATGATTCCATCGCCAAACAAAATGCTAATTGCCCCGAAGATACCGACGAAGTTTTTTTAGCTAGTTCTTACGCTACCATTGCCGGTCCGCAGCAGCACGATTTCGACGTTCTTGTCTGACCTGCATGGTGATCATTTATGTGTTTTAGCATTCGAGCATTTAAATATTTTTCCTGGGGCTTGAAATCAAAGAATGACAACATTTAATGGCTTTGTAGTTTTGACATCATTAACCACGGTCATATGTGCTTACGAGTCATTGCACTTCAGTATTCATATGTGAATCTGTGATGTTTTAAATTCACTACTTGGTGTTTCTTAAAAAGCTTTACGTTTATATTACTATAACTTGTATTGAAGAGGTTCTGAATCATCCTTTAAAATATTCCAGTTATTATCGACATATCGTCAGCATCCCGGACGCTTGACTCCCCTCTCATTATCCTGGATTATCCTCACACCTAGATCTCAATGTTAGCATATTTACGACTCACGCTGTTTCACACACCCGAGGTATAAATACACACGCGCAAACCCCGCACAGGACACAACGACACCAACTTGGTTGAGCTCTGAAGTAATCGGTTGCGTGCACGTCCTTTCTGGTCTTCTTCACCACGGGTAACATGGTGGTGTAATCTGGCCAGTGGCCCCGGCGTGGTTGAAGGCCGCATGCTGGGGACCACAACAAGGTCTTATTTTGCATACCCTTTTTTCGACATTATGATGTCAAGAGATTTCGGTTTCAAGGCCAATCACACCAAGTGTTCGAATGCACGTGCCCACAAATGTTCCCGAAAAATCGATAGAACCCCACTCAGTTGTCACATACACTCCTCTGAACGACCACTTCAGAAACATCAAGATGTCGACAAAGGCCCCCAGGCTGTCATTTATGTTTAGCACAGAAACGGAACTGCCTGCAAGCCCAGTAGTGATGCACCATTCTAGAATTTCTTACATACATCCAAAATCGAGCACGGCCCCGGACCCCGTGCTTTCTCCTTATGCTGATGTCGACGTACTTACTGGCAAGAGGCCGTGGCCTGCCGTTAATGTTGAGGTGGTTGAAAAGGAGCCAACTATCTGTGTGATATGCGGGGTTGACTTTAAAACTCGATCGTGTCTTCATGTTCACCTAGCTGACCATAAGCACCTTGTGGGAAAAATCGATAAGTACAAAAAGGTGCCCCTTTATTTGTGCAAACTATGTGCGGCAGAGGTCAACTGTACCACTGTTTTGCGTCATCGGTGTTTTGTTAAACACACCACTGAAGTTGCTGACGTGGAGGTTGAGCTAAATACACTTGGGAGCCCTCTTGTTTGCATCTTTTGTAGAGGTCGTATTCTCCCTTCCCGGGCTCACTTGATAACCCACATTATTTCCGCTCATTCTCCTCATCGAAACCCTCTAAGATGCGTTTTTTGTCATGCAAAATTCCAATCAGACAATCTTCTGATGCAAGAGGCACATGTATTTACACACCATGTACCTGAGCTTACATTCCTTAATAGGTTGGCCTATTTCAAGGAAATTAAGACCCCCGAGGGACAAACCGTAGATCCAACGGCTTCATTTGTGTGTCTCTATGACCCTGACAAAATGGAGAGCTCAAGCTGGATTGATGCGATTTCGAAGCAGTCTAAGGATTCTCAGACCTCGAATGATGAAAAGGAAGATACTGGAGGTCTGCCAAGAGCCCAAGCAAGGGAACTTTGTTATAGAACATTTCAAAACCTCTCTGAATACACAGCACATATCCAGTGCTACCATTCTATAATCCCTCACGCTCGTTATATGGGAAAGAAGCTCAATACCAGTGAGTTGAAGCGCCTTAATGCAATTAAAAGTAGAATTCCTGGGCCTACTATACGGGAATTGATGGGTGGCGCCGCCTTGGGTGTTAGTGGAAACACAGACGCGGATCACTCAAATTCATCTGGGAAACAGAAGAAGGGCATGGCTGTGGAGCCAAGGAGTATGGCTACAGACGGAGATCTAAATGAGTCTGTTATTTCCTCGAGGGGAATTTGTCGTGTTTGTCAAAGTGACTTTGTAGATGATGATGGTTTAGAAAAGCATCTAGCTGACTTCCATATCCCTGAGGCCCAGAAACGAGTGCAACATCTTGCAAATGTTGGCGAGCTCACCGGCATTCTGGATGTCGATAAGCTCTGCACTGAGTGCTTTACGATATTTTCTACCGTGTACAAGCTGCAGGTTAGTTTGTGCATTTAAATGCACACGAATATATCGGTCATTTTTAATAAATGCTTGTGGTTAGCAATTAAAGCAGATGCAGTAGATTCTTCAAGACGTTTGAACCTTCAGTTTCTAGAATTGAGGTTTGATAATTGCAGTTGCACTCGGAAATTAAAATCGACCTACACAGTAAACATTTCATAAACGGTTGGCATGGTTGTCAGGTAGAATTTTTAATAGGTAAGAGGTGCCATAAAATTGGTGGTTAATGTTGCCCTACTAAGTTTTGGAGATTGTAGCAACACTTTCAGAATCACTTTTCCACTTATTTGTCTTGTTATGGTGTTTTAACCAATATTTTAAATATTTAAACGATCATTTACTTTTAATGATACTTGAATTTGTTTAAATGCTAATTCTTCTAAATCATAACCTTATCGGAGGTCACAATTAATGTGAGCTATTTGGAGGCACAAAGATGTAGGCGCAAAAATATTCCCCCATAAATTTTTCTTAACTAGGCACTTGCCACCAAAGGCAAACTGGTCAAATGTGAATAGGGAAATTAATATTTGCAAAGTCGCTTTGGTGCCACTCTGCTAGTGGAATCTCACTCTTCAATATTCCCTTTGAGCTAATAGCGATAACCCCGTATCTATAAGTAGCTGAATTAGATGAAAAACCACGCCCATTTAATAGTATTCACCCTGAGACCTATTCTTCACGATTAAGAAATGGATTTAGTCAAACACAGTTAACAAGTTGCTGAAAACAATAGAGAACAAATATTAATTTTTATAATTTGGGAAACAAGGCTCACCTTGTCAAAATGAACCGATTCGTGTTCGAGAGTGACGGTTCGAAGTTTATTGTTATTAACCATCTACGCGGGGCTATTTGATTTAATATCTGAATGTTGTACTTTATTATGAGATAGCTATAAGTCTAAATTAGCCAAACAGGGATTAGTATAAAAAAATCTAACGATGGTGCATGCAATTGCCATGTGTGCTGGACGAAGTGGAAATGCTTTCTGGAGAGGCAAATTAACTAATTAACTTCTGCAAATAAACCAAATGATCGAAATCCGCTTGAGTTTGTTTGTAAATGGTACTGCAAAAACACTCATACCAAGTGGTAGAAAATATATGCATTTCTCAAAGGCAACCTTGCAGTGGCAATCCTCACGAGACTGGGCGTTAACAGTAAGTCCAAGGTATTGGTAAATAACCCTAAGCATGACGTGGTGAATCATAAACTGTTTATTAGTAAACTTCAACTTAAATGGGTTGAATAACTTACTTTATGCAATCACATAGAACTTTACTGTTTAAAGTATTGAGGTTTATTATAATTATGTAGGTCCACATAATGGTGTCTCACGGTGGGAAGTCCTGGTGTACTTGTGGGACCTGTGAACAGCGATTCTGTGAGACTAGCCAATGTCTCCCTGCCAACCTGACAGTGGGTCAACCTCTTGAAAGTACCGATGATGATAATCAAAACACATCAATGGTCCCTAATGAAGATGAGCACACCGCCCCCAAACCCTCCTCCACAGAGCGCCAAAGTCCCACCACTGTTGGTGTCGATTCTCTCTACGAACCATACGAAGCCAAACTGCCGATACTCACATTGTGTCGCATTGTGGACTGCCACGAATCTAAGCATTGTGCTAATCTCCAGCCTGCTGTGACCATTCCTTTCCTCCCTCTTGGATTAGTCACACAACTGCTTAAGAGTCGAGGACACCAGGGAAAACAGGTCTTTGATTGGTTGGCAAAAGCCTCCGATCAACCTCTTTTTTCAGACATAGACCCATTCGTGTACGACGACCCGAATGAAACAAAGAGAGGCGCATCCACAAACAAGTACAAAGTAATCCCGGGTGAGGATCCTCTCCTCCGTGAGAATGTGGAAATAGGTCAGCGCCTCCTGGGCGCCCTTAACTCTCGAAAGATTAGTTTGTCACGGAACGTTAATTCGGAGTTTGAATCGGAATCAGCACGAGATAAAAAGGAGCCTGGGCTGGTGGAGGAAAGACGGGACAGCAGAACCTCCAACCCCAGGGGCAGCATGTCCACTGAAATGGCCGCTGCAGGACAGAAGAGTTGTCTGCCTAACCAACTGATCAAGCTATTTACGCAAATTGGGGAACGCGTTGTAGAAATGCGACAGGAAAAGGAGTTTATAGAAATGCTTTAATGAAATATTGTCCTCCCGGATGCCTATATCTTCATTACCATTTTCGTACGCATATGATACATCAGTTTCATAGAAAGCAGGAATTTGAGGTGCTTTTTGAGTCCCTGTCTGTTCGGCAAGTAATACATCTCTCATTGTGGCAAGCGTGACTTTACCGCATAAAAAAATTAATCGAACTTGAGAGGCTTATGCGTAACAAGTAAATCAGCCTCTGAAGGTAGTACGCACGAAACATTTGTTTGGGCAATCGACTGGGTATTCGAAAATTAACAACATAAGTTCAATCATTTATTTTACTTGTTGAAAAGATGCAGTCACGATTAGTATGCGTACGACTGTATCAAAAGCAACGAAACTTAACTCAAACGTCAATATAACTTGAACTGCTGAAATTGACTGGTCACTTAAGCTATTTTATTAGCGAGATTAGCACAGCGGAAAAACCTACTAAACTTTCTTACCATCAAATAGGTCGATGCAATTAAACTCCTGTGCAGTCTTGGTTAACCCACCCATTGGTACCGGTTTGGATTTTTGATTACCCTTAGAGGTGATAAGTGAGGGATTTGAATTTGGCCTGAACGAATCTGATAAAGAACCGGATTACGGCCTTCGCGTACTGCTTCGAAATGCCCAGATAGTCTTGTTGTATATAGTCCACTTTTGTTGTTAGTTGCAAAGAGATTTTAATTTCACATACTTTAAGTGCCCAAAACTGTCGACTGATTTTAATCGGTCGATATGATTTAAATTTTTTATTCCCGGGTAAACTTTAGTACTTTCCACTCATCGTTACTCCTTTTGCTCTCAAGGTATTCATCCCATGAACCGGTAATGAAAGTTCGCTTATAAGAGGTTCCTCGTCTGGTTACTTCACTGATGTGGCATTTTCTTGTGTTGTTATTTAAGGCTATGAATGCTCTGCATTTACATCCTTTCTATGATTTTTTAGGCGACAAAATAAGTTTGAATATAGCTGTAAATTGCACATTTTTTCGCCTAAAATTGAGATCACCGTTTTAGGGAAGTAATGATAGCAACTTGCACGTGGAAACTAGCATAAAGTGTGCAATGGCTTCATCACGTCGGGGATACCAAATGTAGTGGTTAGCTAAGCACTACCTTAAAACCCTCTAGTTAACAATACCTAAAAGGCCGAAAAGGAAATCAAGACAGCGAGAGCGGACACAACCGCTCATTAGCGTCACGCCAGCCATGTGTCTTAGTGTGTGGGTTAGTGATTGGCTGACAAACGAGTGTTAGTAACCAATAGAATAGGGATGAGTTGTAGACACTTTCAGATCAGTAAACAGGCCTTACTCACGCGTGAGCACTGACGTCACGCTACAAAAGTATGTGCTGAAAATCGACGTATTCTTTTGCTTCCTTACTGTCCCCTTCATTTAAGGATATTCTAAATAAAGTTGTACGTGGAATTGCAAAGGGCAGTTTCTATGACCGGGTGTTTAATTAACTGGTCAGATAAATGCCTGGCTGCCAGCTCGAATTGACTAGGCCGACACATTTGAGCGATGCCTGAGAGACTTACTTGGCCACATTAAAGAGAGATTCTTATTTAATATTCACACGGCTGAAGCAAAGGTGAAACTTCGCATATTCATTATTGCTCGATATTAATGCTCCTTAATTATATCTGGTAGATGAGCATTCCGGTGGTGGAATGAATCGTCTGCCTTTTTGTAAAACTGAATCGACTGACGACAGTCCACAACTATTCCCGCTGTTATAATGAATTGTTTAGAATCCTTGAAAATATGTATAGTGCTTGCTTCTTTGCAATATTCTGGAGCATATTTTAGCAGCTTATTCGGATTTCCTGTTAATGTCTACGCGTGCCTAAGATAAGAACTTTTACCGAAAAGCCTCGTCATGTAATTGATTAAGGTTTATTATAAGAAGCGTTTTTTTGCTCAATAGACCTGTTGCAGGGAGCTGTCACCGCACCAAAACCAAGACATTGAGGGTTGAAAAACAGTTAGCTTTGCCGAATTTCGCTCGTGAACCAGATGGCAGGCTGGAAGCCCTTGGACGCCGCTTAGTGGGTTGCTCAGAGGCACTGACGCCATCCTCCGTGACACCCAAGCCACAAGTGAACGGGATGAACACAACAATCATGTTTCAGTACTCCTAAATACTTGGACCAATTATGCCACTCCACAAAAATCGTCTATAGGATAGTATCCACACAATCTTCCACAGTGTACTCCGAAATGACGTACATTAGACTAATTACAAAGACCTCAATTTACTGTATTCACATAACCGGAGTTAGAATGTAAACAAACTATTTGAGTGTATTAAGGCAAAACAGCCATATTCACATTTTATGAAGCTTTACTCCTGAATACGGTGTGACCTGGCATCAGATGAACATCCATCTCAGTCTATCGCAGGCTTACCGATATAAATTTCAATGAAATTAAAGTACATGTACGTTTATATTGTTAAGCCTCAAATACTAAGACGTGTTTATTTTCTCAACTACTCACCTTTGCATACATTTTGGTATCGTGAGCAATTTCTGTCAACTGATATGTTGATGATTTTGACTAAATAGTAAGGTAACTTCTATGTGGAACTGGTCGCCTACACGCCGCCTAAGCTTCATCCACTGTTTGGTTGTTTATTGTCAGTCTGATCTAAAATTGGTGCCAAAAGCCAAACAATTTTATTGTTTTGATAATATTTTCCTAGACTACCTCGGATGGAAGCTGAGGATAGTTGCAATTACTGGTCACGAATAGTCAACTAATGCACTCCTACACTTCATCAAACACTTTTTTTCAATATGCAAATTCTTGCGTATGACAGATTTACATACGCGCATGTTACTACGATAAATTGTATGCCTGGAGGAATCGCTATCATTTGTATGTCTGCGAAGTAAAGAACATAAAGTCTGTATGTGTTACTGATGTCTAATTAAACCGTGTCGATCCAGAAGTTAACAAAAGCTGTGGTTAGGACATCGTAAAATAACATTAAAATAGTGTTTGGTTCTGATGGATTCACTTTGGAAAAAAAGATGACTGAATTAAGCAGGTTTCACCAGTGGAGTAAGTTAATGATGGTGTAGGAACAAAATACTTCGTTTTCTGAATTTATAGTGGCAATGAGAAAAATCAGACTAAGTAGAGGCACTCACAGATGGCACAAACTTTCATCTAATGATTTGTACATTTGGGTATAGTGGTGTTGGTGCACTTCACTTACTAATTGTTGGAATGACGTCCTAAATTCATTGACATAATACACACTGGAACTCTCGGGCCTTAACCTTGTGAATTTTCCTTCATTCCAATAATGTGTAAACACTCGGCATAAGCCCAATTTCTACCACAAGACTTGATCGTCGTTACAATACTTGTAATTGCGTTGCTACCTCACAGAGGCATGATCAGTGAGAACTCGTCAGAGGTAATGCTGCATCGTCTTTGAATCACCTGGGTGAAAAATTACAGTAGGCTTGACATGATCTACAAGATTGTCATATACACTTAGACGATCCAAGAATTCTTGACTGGTGAGCGGTCAGCGGTCTGGTTTCATTTGTCCGCGTATCACTGATGTAACATTTTGGAACTTCAAATAATTAGAAAACCCACCTTGACTACTTGGGCTATTCTGCTGTCATCTGACTTACTAGGCTGAAGCACTAAATTTCGCTTTGGCATACGCTGAAGTAATGAACAAACTCGCGTATTTGGTTCCTTAATTTTTGTATAATACGTTACTCTAGATCAAGAAACTGTGTTGTTAGGAATTGAATGCAATTTCGCAGAAGGTAGAATTGTGTTAATAAGCACATTCATTCATTCTTCACCCTAGTACAACTCGCACCAACTTTTATGATTACTTTTTAGCGCACTACATGGTAGTTAGACACAAACCTACACTTCTGGCCAAGTTTGTGATAAATGTATGTGTCTGTCTGCCTACACAAAAATGAATATTTGTTCTTTAAAGAAAATTGCATTGATTTAAACTGCACTTACCAGCCTGTTAGGACGATGTCAGTCATTCGTTCGAAATACCCACCAGTCGTGTGTCAAATTAATTTGTAAATCTCGTCAACCGAAATGCTAAACGCCTGCATTTGTCATCGAGTGGGGGCATGGTATGGGGCGTGAACACAATAGCTTGAGCCACCAGCATGCCACACAACTTGTACCCTTGACTCCACAGATCAACGTGTACATAAAGACACTCACAAAGTGGCGCTGTCAGAGGACTTCTTTAAAATGAATTAGTGAATAGCAGCCTCAAATCCTAGTCTTCGTTGCGCTTATATCAGGTTCTAAGTAAGCAAGCACCCCGTATCCCATAGCTTTCGGAAGAGCGCAATACGGTTTGAGCAAAGATGCATTTTACCTAACAGGAAAAATAAGAGCCATTTGGAAGGTAACTGAATAAATGTGTATTTTTACAATCACGCTAAGTCACATGTGATTGATGGGAGAACTCTACTTAGTAGAGTAGGTTCCACGTTTAATAAAGTCATAACATCTGATCTATTACCGAGATTGTTGCAGCTAAAGTAGGAATATCTAACCAAAATTCCCAATATCGAATTGTGGCCTTTGTACAAATTCATGAATGCTGCATGCCTTAGATTTGTTCATGTGACCTTCTTCCCTTAAAGGAAGACACACTAGCGAGACACGTCACCAGCCAAATAAGGGCATTCCAGTCACGCATTAACATTTTGCATGCAGACAAGACGGATACCAAGATGCACGCACTAAGGCGTCAGACAGTCTATCCCTTCTTGCTTGTGAGAATGATAATGTGGGGGCTAGGATTTGCAGCGATAAGATAGGCACGCTTGCCTAGGAGTTGCCGTCCCATTACGGGTACCCGCTCTATCTCATTTCGTTTCGTTGTATGAAAGTCTGGAAAGGCAGTTGATTATAAGAACCAGGCAAATCAGTTTTGCTCCTTGACTCTCACTTATATCAACAGATTTATGTAGTGTCAAT